AGTAGAACGGCAGAAACCGATCATTTAGCAGCAGAATCTTTTTCTTAAAACTTTTTCTCTTGGTTTCGAAGAATTTCTTGAACTGCTGCATTTGCGTGCCCGTTTCACTGGGGCGGACCACAAAGTCCGGGAAACGGGATGTGCCAGCGGCCCCGCAGTTCGCCCGAGGGGACACAGCTGACCCTCGAAGTGACTGGAATGATTTAGGGCTTTAAATTTTGTAAATGTGGCCCTGCCTGGGACGAGAACATCATCCCTGGTCTGTGGAGAGTCGATCAGCCGACGATTAGGTTTGCGGTTCTACCTGGAGGGCCCCTTGAGCAGTCCGTTTCTGTAAACACGTGGTGGCACACTGAAATTCCAGGGACCGTCCCATTGGTGTTTAAAAAAAGGGTTTCCCCCGTCACTTTTGTAGGGTTCCTGAGGACTGGTGGAGCCATGGGATGACACCCTAACAGGCGCTCATTTCGCCGGTCGCGGACGCTGGTGTGACAAAACGACTCTGCAATGTGCCGGCTCACCGCTATTATTACCCGAGGGGACCCGATACTCCTTGCAGATGTTCTCACTAGGCCTCGCCGGAGTATTATTCAGCAGTCTTTTAACTGTCAGGTGTGTCTGTTGGCTGCTTGTCTCAGCCAGCTCCCCACCTTGAACGGAACAGGTTTCCGCACATTCTTCTTCTTATCCGATGAGTTATTGAAGGCCTTGTGAATATTATGTTGATCTGCATTGAATTGCTGGGCCAGTAGCATCTGCCTAGGCTCTCTTTTTGCTCCACAGGAACGCCTGCCTCAAGATGACATTAGAAACGCTTATCAGAAGGCGTCGCTCAATGGAGACGGCTTCGGCGTAGGATGGTACGTTACAAAGTGCTCCAAACGTACTTCTACCTGCACAAAGTTGGGTTTTTTGAGACCATGTGACGGCAGTCGAGGTGAAACGAACGGAAAAAAGCCGCCGGAGGGAGATGCTGCAGCAGGAAACCTCGCTTCATCTGACGACGATGGAGGTGCATGCGTCTTTACGTCCCTGAAGCCCGCATGGGCAGACAGAAATCTATACAATCTTGCCGAGAAGGTATGCAGACGGTTGCAATTAGTTGCC